AGGAGCTGGCCGTACTACTAGGAGCAAGGGGCATCGCTACTAGTAACTTCGTCAAATCATGTCAAATCTTCGTCAGCGAGCCCACAGGCCGACAGCCCACGCATCAGTTTCTTCCGAAGCGGCAGTGGTCACTTCTCGGAGACACCCGAAGCGGCAGTTACTAGTAACAAGAAGCTAGTAGAAACAAGTGCATCGCTACTAGTAACCAGTGCCTTACTAGTAGTAACAAGAAGCTAGTAGTAACAATACGGTCTGCACCCTCAAACAGTTAGGCAATCCCAAGAATACACATGAGTGTTGAGCAGTCTGTGTCATGGTTACAATCTGTTATTCGTGTCAAAGCCCCTACCCCTAGGCTGCGTATGCTCAAGACACATCCAAAACTTGTCAAAATTAAGTTGCATAGCTGTTGATTCAACATACACTGATTGCAAACATTGATAAAGCACTCATTCGGACTCTTTTTTGGGAACATGTCTTAAGCCTAGCCCGGACTCACAACTGTTGAATGTTGAATTGATTTCAGCAAGCTGGGGTGCGAGGCAACTGTCTCAGAGTGATCGTGTGCTGTCGCAGGACTTTGTATCGGCTCAAATCTTTCTTCAAGGGAAATATAATAAACTTCCTAATGTACAGGGATTTGCTGAACAGCTAACAAGTAGCCACCCATGGGTTAGGTGCCCAGGAAACATTGGCTGGAGAAACTCTCAAAGACAACCAATCCTGGAGATCAAGTTTGAATAACCCTGACATTGCTGCGTAGGGGCACAGCACAGCGGCACAAAAAAAACACAAGCAATCTCGTCACACAAACACATGGGATACCTCCGGGCTACTAAACTTGATGAGAAGGAACGCTACTACGTAACAATACAGGTGTGCGTCTTTGTATACCACCCCGATTTATATAGCACCCCGTGGACACCGTAGCGACAACATGCGACAACCCCTTTCTGCCTAGTATGTGCCTTCGCTTGCGGATTACAATTTTGGCATCTCCGCTCTCACGTTCGTGCCACCTTCCGAGGTCGCTCCTTTCTGGCCAGCCTTAGTCAGATCTAGTTGTGATTCTGAATCTATCCAAAACTGGAACAAGCTTCCACAAAAATCTGGCACTCTTTGGCAAAGGGGGTTCAGGAGTTTCTGCCGAATGTTTGGTGTCCAGTGAACAATGTGATGATCTGTGTGGTAGTCACGCTTTATGATGTTAACAATTGTCATGTGTGATGTTTACATACTGTAAGTACAATAATGTATTGCTTTGTGACAGGTGAATTGTATTGTGGTGAAGTGGGTGCTATTTTGTGGTGTGGTGAAGCGGTGTGTGTTAATTTGCTCGTCTAAGAGCCCCTTCCACCGCCTCTATCTTCTGCAGTGTTCATCGGATGTTGTGCAAGTTCGATCACTATACACACACATTAATTCATAACATATCATAAGTTGTCATAACATCTTCTGGAGCGACAGTTGTTTTGTGCACCCTTGCTGTCACACACCAATATTCCACGCATCCTTTCATTCTACCCACATGTGACTCAACCTCTACCTAGTCGATTGTCTCTGCAACTGGGGAGTTTTTCAACTAAACTTCCTTTTGATCAGGTCACATCACCCTCACACAGTCCAAACCAGGACCGCACCTCACGGCGAATGTTCACTGGTCCGATCTTGAACATCCATGAAGTGCGATGGTTCTCTGGTCCAAGCCGTCTGAATTCTATTGTGCTATCCTGCGGCGCAAAAAGTGATGAGTGTTTGAAAAGCATGCTTTTTGCGAATACCTTCAAACAAAGTAATACTCAAAAGGGCATGGGCGAATGATCCTCGAACCACCACAGTAGTTAACAGTATTCTCTCGTTCACCCAAACCATAGTCGCACATGTGCGGAAATGCGGACATGGAGCAGCCAGGAATTAAGTTATTACTTCATTAGCATACAGTAAATTAGCCATAGGTTTTTGCAAGATGGATAGCCTTGAACCACCTAGCTGGTGACACACAGTGAGGCCGCCTTCCACACAACAACTTGACTGAGTCTGGAAGGCCTCTTGAGAAGGCCGCTGGCCCATCATCTCAGGCCCCCGGCAGCCATTCAGAGGATTGGCGCGCGTGACTCATGGTCAGCCTCAGAAAACGGTTTTGTCAAAAACATTTGCAGGTGAAACTCTCAAATTTTGCTGGCCCCAACTGAGAGAGGAACCCAACCTCCGGATCAACGAGGGTTAAGCAAGAGCCCATCCGCAACCTCGTCCAAACACAGAAAAACAACAATAATCAAAGATTCCTTTTGGATATGTTCGATCTCTTGTGCGTTCCTCCTGTTCCATTGAGAGTTGCAAAATGCCACTTCTAAGGTCTTTGCGTCTCAGCACTCCTGGGCAGCTGACTAGAATTACTTTTTCCTCACTAAATTGTCGTCTTTCAAGCTACCCCACACTGATTAAAGGGAATACAGCGTACCAGGCGAAAATAAAGAACCGGTGGAGTGGAATGATTAGAAATGCGAGTGCTGGCATGTCAATTCGTAGGCAAGGCGCTGAGGAGCAGGATCCTGGAGATGTTGTGTCGGTGGTAGGATTTGCTAGGAGATCTCGCGACAAACGTCTAAAATTTTCGATTTTCTTTGATTTTTTTGAGTGGTTGCCTTCTTTTTTACGTTTTTTTGGGGTTGTGTTCGATTTTTTATTGATATTTTTTCGAGTTGTGGTCTATGTTTGACTTTTTTGACTTTGATTTTTCCACTGTCATTTGACTTTTTTGATTTTTTAATCGAGGATTTTGGCCTTACCGTATGAGAGAGTTTGATAAGTCTAGAAACATATTTTAACATTGTAATACTCCACCATGCGACCCTGAACACTTCAGTTGATATACTTAATACTCTTAGAATGGCCCATGGAATGTGAACATGCGTGAACCGGTGGAGGAAAGCTTGGATACCCACCACCCTTGGAATGATATCCTGTGCAATATAGTAAGATAACTCAACGCTCCCCACGCGCAATTTTTGCTAAGCAAGGCCTTGTTTGTGAGAAATTAACGCTTCAGATGTGAGAAGCACTCTATTCTACTTTGGGTCCCCACAATCAACTGCCGCCAGCCCGTACGGTTGTTTGCTCAGGGGTGGAAAAAAAGGAGCAAAAAGAGAAAACATGGGAGAAACACCTGTAGTTTTGCAGTCCGAAAACGTGGACCTTTGCTGTTATACCCCATCCGGATTGCTTTGCCGATTCCCCGAATCAGGGCCCATAATCCCGCTGGAGTTCCTCACCTTCAAGTTCTCCTCCCCCTCTGAGGCCCACCTCAAAAGTTTCTCGTCCTCTGTGCCGCTCACCCATGCCAACACTTCCTTGGCGCCTGAACGAATCTTCACCTCCTTCTTCTTCTTCTTCGCAGCCTTTCTCTCCGCCGCGAACTCCTTGAAGACCAGCTGATGTTCTTTCTTCTTGGCACACTTGTTCTTGGGTTGGTGATCGCGCTGTTGAACTCGAGATTCAACGGGCCTCAGGCGAGGAACAATAGGTCCCCTCCACTGTGGTGGTGGACGAGAAGGGGATTGCGGGAGGCCTGCTAAGTCCTCTTGACACAGACCTTCGATGTCGGTGCCTTCTTCTTCTTCCGTTCGTGCCTTTCTCTGGAGTCTCCTCTCCCTCAACTTCCCCCTGGCAAGGACAGCGTGAAGCAACCTCCCGTACGCCTGGGGTATGCTCAGGTCTCTTTCACTGGCCTCCTCCTCTTTTTTGGCATCTTTAACGGGTTCTCCTCTGGGTTCTTTCCACTCTGTGGTGCTGCCTTGACCTTGGTGGCCAAAGTCCTTGCTGCTAATGCGATCTTCCACTCTCAGGCCTGGAGGTCGGCCGCACAGTATCATGCTTTTTCTCCTCTGACTTCTTCTTCTTCTTCTTCTTCTGGCGCTTCTCTTCCTTCTTCTCCTTCTCTTTTGCGGCGTCCTCGATGGCCCTGTTGTCCTCCTCTGGATGCTTTGGGTGCTCCGGGTCTTTTCCTTCCTCCTTCAACTCCTGCTCCGTCTCAGGCTTCTTTTCGTACGGCCAAGTGCGAGTCCACGTAGTCCTGTAGCTCGCCTGCCAGGTTCCTGGCGCGCACTGTAGCGTACCCAACAAAACCGGGCAACTGACTGTGTGTCGCAATCGCCCGATCCAATCGGCCCACCGGTGGGTGTGTGCCCCCACATACGCACACTGTGAGCCGAGCTGCGGGCACGAGGTTTTCGTCCTTAAGCCCTGGTACATGGACATAGTTTTGAGATGTTTTGAGTGTTACAGTGATCCCAGTGCGTAGTGTAAGTGACGGTGTGGAAAAATGACGGTGTGGAAAAATCACGGTGTGCCAGTTTGGGTTTATGAACATATTATATACTATTACATAGAAACCTAGTCTGGTCCAACGACGATCTGTCGGCCACCAGGTCAAAATCTAGCACCATATGGTAACCACGTGCGACGCAACTGTGTTGTATGGAGCGTGTTCATGCATTTTCTTTGATTGATAGGCCATAAGGTGCACCGCAAGTCATCCCGCTCACCAGCAGCATGCCGCATCTACACCACCATTCGCCTATGGCACAGCAACATTACATGTATTCCTGTCACAGGAAGTTGTGGCTGGTCTGCTGACGGCTTAGTTACTGCTTTGCTGCTGTTGGGCTGCGCGTTCCATGAGCCCCGAAGTTCGAAGTCCGCATGCTGCAATTGAATTGAAATCTGCACATGGAGGTCCACAAGCGCTGCGCCTGCCACGAATCCAAAGCCTGAAGCTCGAAGATACCAAGCCGGGGCCGAAGCTTTCAGGTCCGAAAGTACTGCGGTGTTGCACCTGGCTGCCACGAAATCTGCACCAAGATAAACACCTCCGGGCTCCTGCGCCTGACTTGAGACCACCAAAGCATGTAGAACCTGCCGGGCCTAAGGCAAATTACAAATTACACCTTTCCTTTCTTTGTTTCTAGTAGCAACGGGCTCCAACCTAGAAGCGATGGCCCCCCCTGCTAGTTTCAAAATGAGCATGCCGCAAGATGCCACATCACGCCACTGCGAGAGCGATGTACACCCCTAGACGGGCATTTCATGCAAGAGTGTCACCGAAGCCGCAACTTTTGCTGATCGTGGAGTTCACAACACCTTTATTGAGACTCCGACCGGACACTGCTCCCTTTACTCTTACCATGAGCCCTCTACTTTTCCTCACCACTGTTTGGGAGACTCGAAACACTATGTGTCGTGGAGAGCAGCAAGGCAAGGCAAACAAAGCCGGAAATCTGCCTGATGGAGGCATCGTCGGCAATGTTCAAGTCCAAATCGTCCAGTGCCAACCAATGCCGAACCTGCAGCAGAACTTCTGTGAAACATGGTGAAACAACTGTGGTGTATGTAACATGTATATGCGAAGCCAACACCGAAAACTCAAACGCGGTCGCATATCGTCATCGCCGCAGCAGCAGCAGCAGCAGCAGCAGCAACAGTAGCAAGCTACTAGTAAGCAATAGCATCATTTATGTGTTTTCTGTCCATTATTATTGTTATTTTTATTACTAGTAGTAGTGCAAGTGCCAACTCCAGTGCCACAGCTCGTGCAGGCTGGTGTGAACATTGAGCTTTTGAAGAAACCTCAGAAATCATATTAAAGCCGATGCAGCATGCTGCAGCCGGCAAAACCAGTACTACATTTAAAGTAAAAACAATCAAGCTATATAATTGATAGCTATGGCCTCCAACCTAATAGCGATGGCCTCCAACCTGATAGCGATGGCCTGAAAAAAAAATTGCAATGGCCTCCAATCCAATAGCGATGGCCTCCAACCTCATAGCAATGGCCTCCAACCTTATAGCGAGGGCCTCCAACCTAATAGCAATAGCCTCCAACATAATAGCAATGGCCCCCAACCAAATAGCAATGGCCTCTATTCTAATATCGATAGCCTCCAACCTAATAGCAATGGCTTCCAACGTAGTAGCAATGGCCTCCAACCTAATAGGAATGGCCTCCAACCTGATAGCGATGGCCTCCAACCTATAGCAATGGCCTCCAACCTACTAGCGATGGCCTCCAACCTAATAGCACAAAGGCCTCCAACCTAAGAGCACAAAGGCCTCCAACCTACTAGCGATGGCCTCCAACCTAGTAGCACAAAGGCCTCCAACCTACTAGCGATGGCCTCCAACCTAATAGCACAAAGGCCTCCAATCTAATAGCAATGGCCTCCAACCCAATAGCGATGGTCTCCAACCTAATAGCGATGGCCTCCAACGGTTGCCTTTTGTCTGGAATGCACGTTGTTTTAGCTCTACTTACGTGCGCGCTCCCCACAGGTCTTGTTAAAAGGCCTTAGCTTGGTCGCCAAGGCCTAAGAGTCCCCGCATCCTTGTGGATAAAAACACGTCCAGTCCAGCTTCCGATTGCACCTCACGGTGCTCTTGCAGCCAGGCAGTGATCTCTCGTGCCCGCCGCTCTGCCCAACGAAGCCGCAATGTGGCCTCCATGCTTGCATTTTTGGAGACTTTCGTTGCAAACGTGTCTTCTACAGAAACCGTTTGAAACTAGCCTTTCGGCGGCGCATGCTTTCACATCGCTTTCGCTGGAGTTGAAAGACCAAAAATGTACAATCCTCAAGCAAAGAATCGTCTGATGAAGACCAGTTACTAGAATGCGACAAACAACCTGGTCGCCTTGCCTGCTTGTCAGGGTCCAGCTTGCTACCCACAAACAAATCCTGGAACTACGGAGTGGTTCCGAGAGTTCCCCATTAGCCGTCCCAAACAATCCCAGAAAGGGGGGAGGTCGACCCCCCCCCCC